CGACCGCCACGGCAGACGAACGGTTGAAACGTGAATGCCATAATTGCGTAAATCAAGCCAGTAGCAATTTGTCATAATTCATCCAACTTCCGTTGGATTCCTTTATCTTTTTCGGTCAGCAACGCCGTTACCAAACATGGACTTCTCACCTGCCTGGTTTGGACCTTCGATGATCTTGGCCCGAAAAATTGAACCTCTTGCGTACCATTTCGGAAGATACCCAGCAATATTAAATGCTCCCAATTCAACCGAACGCCTGAAAGTGACAAAAACATCAAGATATCCTTCTACGCATACATATAGGGCATATAGAAAACCGAACCCGAATGTCGTAAATTGAATTATTCGGTATTTGGCTAATTGGCTTATTTTCCGACGAATGTGGTTTTTCGTTGGAATTTGAATGGAAAAGGCAGAGCGCAGGATTGCAACCGGACAATCGACGATGACAACCTCAACAAGAACGTTTGCTGCTGGCTGCTCGTGTTGTTTGGGGCTTCCTTAATCTCCCCCCAAGCCCCCGGACCGAAGTTGTTTTTGTTTTAGCCTTTTGTATACATAACAGACAGCCTTCGAAACTCCATTTTGATTTCGAATTTCCTTGGAAGAAACCCGTTCCGACCCGATCCGTCTGGGCCGAAAGAACCCAGCCCATAGGTTATTATAATCCTCTGCTATCTAACAATTATGTAAATATGTGCAAAAAATACAACCGAAACAAAAGGCATCTTAGCTTCGAACGAAAAAAAAACCCCAAAGACACGCGGATTGGGAAGCAGCGCGAACGAAATCCGTGTGTAATCTTCATTTGTTCTCTCGGGTTTCGCTTTCTTCCCGGGTTCCTTCATGGCGGGTTTGTCCGAAACGTGAAGCAGAATCGTGTGTATCGTGAGCTTCTGCTTCTTCATCCGCCGCAGTTATCGCGAAATTTTTGGCTGTGCAAAACGGTTGCTATACCTTACAACAAACCGAGCCAAGGAAGGAAGGAAGCATTTTCGAACTTTTGTGCGCGGATAACCATAATTCTCTATTGTCTGGATTCGTGGGCATGTTATTGTTGGGTAGGGCTGCCTGTTCTACCCGTTCGCCGAGGCTCGGAGATAGGAAGTTTGTTCAAGGGATCGAACCAAACCCAAAATATTCCTTAATTGGATGCAAATTCCATTTTGAATTTTTAGGCACGAAAAATGCTCTCCACTCTATAACTGTTGCAACGGCAGCAGCAGCAGCAGCAGCAGCGGCGGTAGCGCTAATCGATCGATTCGGTTATGACGATAACAGTAGCACAATCCGGTGAGACAGTTGGAGGCATTTTTCGCCGCTGACCTGGGCGAGATGTTACATTTTTTTCCCGGAAGGGCAAACGGTTGCAATCGAGGTGATCGTTCGGTTTCCCATACATTTGAGCTGGTTTAATTTTTTTTTAATGTAGGTACGATGTTTAATGTTGGGAAGCTGCTGCAAACAGTAGCGTTTATTTATATAGTAGAAAAGTAATATTTGTATAAGCCTGGTGGAAAAGGATAGAAAAGGATAGAAGATGATGGCTTCGACTGCGGGTTCTATCGTTGGTTCCCATGAGCAACAACATGCCACATTGTGCGACTCAAATCAAACTGAAGACACGAACACGGCAATGATGCATGAAGTAGGGTAAGGTGGGGTTATACTTGCCATGGGGTAATATGACCAACAAGGCTTATTTAATTGTTTTGCAAAACAAATGTAATGGGTTTTCACCCAGAATCGCTGCTGAACTATTATCTGGGAAACTGTTTATATTAATTAGTATTTGAAGAGTACGAGAAAAAGGTACGTATTTATTACCCGAGCTAACCCTACTTACAACTGGTACACTTCTAATCCTCTAAAAGCTAATAAGCCAAGCTAACATTTTTATTATCGATTCGTTTATTTTTAAAATTAGGGTAACTAATGATGGTTGGACCTATTTTGGCCGGTTTCACACGACGTCAATATTCATGTCGTATTTTTTTTTATGAATTCAACATATAATTATGAAAAATGCGTGATTAGGGGAAAGATCTACCTTTCTTGTTTCTAATAATAACATAAAGAGTTAAAAATTATGAACAAATGATTTTATAAAACATTTTTATTCAGCAAAGAATTATGATGTTGGTTGGACCTATACTGATCTTGGTTGGACCTAAAAAATGATGATGGTTGGACCTATTTTTGCAAATGCTAGTTGAGCCCATATTTGTTCAAAAACTTTGTTTAGAGCTTATTGGTATCATGGAAAAACCCTTTTTATACAGTTGTTATGAATTTGCTATTTTAAAAAAACAAGAAATTTGAGTTTAACTTCGTTTTTAAAAAAAGTTCACTTTCCACGCATTAGCTATTCATCATGGCTCATTTTCTCGGAAATCGGTTCAATCCCAGCTGAGGTCGGTGGGATTTTTCTGAGGCATACAAATCTCTGGTCACGTCTTCCTTCGGAAAGGAAGTAAAGCCGTTGGTCCCGGCCCATGTGTGTTTGAATGGGTGCGATATCTTACGCAGGTGTGGAAGCTGCCTTCCTACACATTCGATTGCCGTCAATGGATGGCAATCGATGTCCGTCGGTGATTGGCACTACATTACGGAACAGAAACTGACGTTAAATAAAGGAATGAAGATGGAATTTGCGATATGGATTTGAAGCGGTGCGAGCGAAAATGGTACATACCCAACAAACATTTTCAACTATTTAAGCTTACTTTTGCAGTTTTGACACATACAAACAGACGTAATATCATAGAGGTAACTCTAAGACCAGAAAGTCCCGAAGAAACGTGCTAATATTTTTGGCTCAGCTCTGGTACTCTCTTCGGTCCCAAGCTAATGGATGCACCCCTCGAAATATCGGAAAATCCACGAACCCCTCATTTTATCTGTCAAACTTTCATAGCGAATCAAAACAAACATAGTGTAGTACTAGAATATCGACTAGAATGGGGTACGTTAATCGATTTGCTTGGGACCAATAGGCTAGTCAAGTAGTGAGCCAATTTTAAATCGTTAGTTTCCACCGGTTGGTAATACCAACAATCAATACGAAACTAACGATTTTAAATTAACTCACTACTTGACTAGCCTATTGGTCCCAAGCAAATCGATTAAAGTATCCCATTCTAGTCAAAATTCTAGTAAAGGGTGATACGGTCAAAATTTGGTCAAGGAAAAACGCGTGTAAATAGGTGAAATCATTTATTTAAAAAATCAAATTAAATTTCTTTTTCAAGTTCAATTAGTATAAAATTCAGGAAAAATATTCAGTTAGGCTTCCGCTTTTCCAAATCCGAATTGCCGGGCCTTACGCTTGACCCCTGCCATCAGATTTTGTACAGCCACCTTGTCCACCTTCTTCGCCGCAGAAAGCCAGTTTGCCTTGAACTGCTGCTCGCCCTTAGCAGTTTTTTTGGTCCGCTTGACAATAGCCCAGTATTTCTCAATTGGGCGGAGCTCTGGCGTGTTGGGAGGGTTCTTGTCCTTGGGAACCACCTGCACGTTGTTGGCGGCGTACCACTCCATGGCCTTTTGACCGTAATGGCAAGATGCCAAATCCGGCCAAAACAGTACGGAACAACCGTGTTTCTTCAGGAAAGGCAGCAGACGTTTATTCAAACACTCTTTCACGTAAATTTCTTGGTTGACAGTCCCGGAAGCTATGAAAATGCTGCTTTTCAAGCCACAGGTACAGATGGCTTGCCAAACCAGATATTTCTTTGCAAACTTTGACAGTTTCATGTGCTTGAAAACATCTGCTACCTTTCCCCTTCCTTTTGCCGTATAAAACTCCTGTCCCGGAAGCTGCTTGTAGTCGGCTTTGACGTAGGTTTCGTCGTCCATTACCACGCAGTCAAACTTCGTCAGCATCGTCGTGTACAGCCTCCGGGATCGCGCTTTGGCCGTCGTATTTTGTTTATCATCGCGATTTGGAGTCACTACCTTCTTGTAAGTCGATAGTCCGGCTCGTTTTTTGGCTCGATGCACGGTTGTAGACGATACACCCAGCTTATTTGCGGCATCTCGGAGAGAGAGGTTAGGGTTTCGCTTGAAGCTACCGGCAACTCTCTTTGTCGTCTCAGCGGCTTCCGGTTTTCGATTTCCCCCCGATCCAGACTTCCTGGCTGTCGACAAGCGTTCCCCAAACACTTTAATTACATTTGTAACGGTTGATTTGGCAACTTTTAGCGATTTTGCCAACTTTGCGCGCGAGTAGCTCGGATTTTCGCGATGCGCGAGCAAAATTTTGATACGCTGCTCTTCTTGCTTGGACGGCATTTTGACAACTGAAGAGTGAATTCCAATATCAAAATAGGAGCAACATTCTACACACACACACCTTCAAAATGAGGGGTTTTCAGGTTTTTTAAATGCAAAATTGAAAGAAATACGTCAAGTTGATATTGACCAAATTTTGACCGTATCACCCTTTACTATACAATGTTTGTTTTGATTCGCTATGAAAGTTTGACAGATAAAATAAGGGGTTATTGGATTTTCCTATGTTTCGAGGGGTGAATCGATTAGCTTGGGACCGAAGATAGTACCAGAGCTGAGCCAAAAAGTTGAGCTCCTTTCTTCGGGACCTATTAGTCTTAGAGTTACCTCTATGGTAATACCATAGAGATAACTCTAAGACAAGTAGGTCCCGAAGAAACGTGCTCAACTTTTTGGCTCAGCTCTGGTACTATCTTCGGTCCCATGCTTGTCGAATCACCCCTCGAAACATAGGAAAAACCAATAACCCCTCATTTTATCTGTCAAACTTTCATAGCGAATCAAAACAAACATTGCGTAGTACTAGAATTTCGACTAGAATAGGGTACGTTAATCGTTTGCTTGGGACCAATAGGCTACTAAAGTGGCGAGCCAATTTAAAATCGTTAGTTTCGTATTGATTGTTGGTAATACTGCGTCCTGGATCATTGTTCAGGCATTTAACGACTGATTTGAATATTATTATTTCCGCTAACTGCTCACCACAAGTCCTAGCTTCGGCTGGACATATACTAAAATTGGAACGATACAGAGAAGATTAGCAGGGCCCTGCGCAAAAAAAAACTGCTCACCACAACACTGGCATCGGATCACTGTGACGTTTCTATATATTCTGTTTACGTTGCAGTAACATTGTTTGGGACTTAGCTGAACGAAATCATTCCTTCTACACTCAAGTTGGCTGAAAATGAAGACAAACTTAACAGATAGACCAACTATACCTGCATGAATTTGAACTTTGACGTAAAAACATTCTGTTGATCAAGGCAACCTCTGAGTATCAAAGACATTTATTCTCGCGTAACATTTGAATAGGGCCTATGATCAAAATGTAAACAAACCGATTTTTGATACCATTCTGTAGCACTGGTAATTAGCTACCAGTCGTATAGGAATGTTCCGCATTATCGATAAAAATCATCAAAAATAACTTGATTTTAAAAACGGCCGATCCACGAAATTTTTCCAATCATTCATGCTAAAATGGCCTAACCTCGGGCATAACATATATTTTTTTTTCGTTCGATGAGGTTTCATTCATAAGCCTACCCAAGCAACCAAAAGTTCGGATAAAAGCCCTTTTCTGGCTTAATCAGCTAATCGCAGGATTATGAATAGAATTCTGTTCAGCTTACTTTTTAAGTAATTAACCGAACTTTCAAGTTCACATTCGATGTTTAAGCTTCTAACAGAATGCTGTTTCACTTTTAAAGAGAACTTGAAAGTTCACAAATGGTTCGTTTAACCGTTGGAGGGAATGCTATTCAGTCTAAAAAGAAAACTTGAATGAAATCAACACACCAAAATAGAAAACAAATATATCTTTTATTTTACTTCTTACCACGTTCTCTTCTAATTTATTATGAGCTGCTGTGTCGTCGGAAGATAAATGTTTGAAATATTTAATTTAAATTACATGTTTTTAAATTACTTACCGTAAGTCTCGAACTCGAGTCCTCCTCTTTGAAATCGAGATACATACCATTGATCTATGTGAACTAAGTGGAAAATCATATTATTTTACTCGATGTGCTGATTTCATTCATAAAAATGGTTTTCAGAGTAGCCAAATCTACTTTCAAGTTCCGTAAGAACTATTTTTGAACTTTAAAGTATCTAATTAGTTCATGTAGAACCCTATCTGAACTTGAAAGTTGCGTAAAAGATCATACATAACTTATTGTGAACTTGCACCGTTTGTCATTTGACAGCTTGTTTTGTTTTCCGCAGAAGTTTTCAGTAACCTCGAAAAGTGCAAAACAATTTTACTTAATTGTACTAAATTAATCTGTCTTGAGACTTCTTTTATTCAGAAAATCATCAAGGTATAGTAGTGAAACGCAAACCTCAATGAAATTTAATAAAATAATATATTTTTTACTTACAGAAATGCCATTCGCCGTAGTGGAAACATTGAACGCTCGAGGCTGTAAGGAGCTTTCGGTCGTTCCAGATCAATGGTTGCGGAAATCAAAAAGTGGACACATTTTGTTCTGGCCAAACGCAAACAGTGTCGCAGAACAAAATAAATTGATCCGTGACGAAAAAAGCTGCCCAAAAAAGTCATGGCTGAAGTTCGGATGTACGGTGAGACGAAATCCTATATCTTCTTTCACTGAAGGGAAGCGCTTGATGGAGGAATTGTCCGGAGAATCATCTTCCGACGTCAGTCAGCTAATCCAACGGAAGAGAAAACACCAAATTCGCGAAACCGATATCTTTCAGAAAATGTTTGTTCTGGAAAATCAACCCGTCTCCCTAGCAACACAAGCAACCACTCCACCGACCCCCGTCATCATCAAGGTAAGAGAAAGTGTTCGGAATGAAATCCTCCCTCAAGCAACAACACCAACCCCACCACCACCACCCGCTGCATTTGAGACAATCTCTGAAGAAAATGTCGAGACCATTCAGTATGTAACAACAGCAGCTTCTCCGCAGCTAAACTTCGAATCGACACAAGATAAACTTTTTTCATTACCAAGATATATGTTCAAAACAGATGAAGGAAATGGATAGGTGAAAAAATCTTTCTTTGATACTAAGACTTTTCCGTTGATTTGCAGCTGAGGTGTTTCCAAAACATGATCGAAGCACACTATTTGGTTTGTGTGGGTAAGAAACCAAGCGTTCTTGTGGGAATTGTTCAAGAAACAGTCCTCATTTATATCAATAACTTTTTTGTTTCCACAGGTTCTAATACAAGGATAATTTCGCTGTTGTGTTTCACGTGATTTCCGGGTGGTATAATAGTCCATAGAATTAATTTCGGACAACCTGTTGACGGCTTGTTCAAGGCTCTTCCATCCACTTCGAAGAAGGTGTTTCATTCGCTGCAGAGCATTTTCAAACGGATATGCAGAAAACGAAGATAACGGTCCAAATCGCTCAACTTCATCCACAATATGCTGGAGATTATGCACATTGCTAGTCAAAAATTGCTCTCCATAAAGTTCCATGTACTTAGTGACAAATGTTTCCAACATTTTCCTAGCAACGTGCCAGTTTGCTTTATAGTAATTTGAGGACAACATTGTAATCGAGCAGAACAAAAGCAGGAAGTGGTGATAATTGTCGGTTGGAAGAAACTCTTTAAGTACTACTATACTGGCATAATGTAAGAAGCTGCTGAACTCGGACCCCTTCCAAAAGGACAAACAGTCCATCCCGCGTAACTTACGGTGAATTTCGGAGGGCAACTGTATACCACCTAACATCTGCGATATTTGTTCGTTTCATAACCCAAAGTTCCATCTCTCCATCCAAGAAGCAACCGTTTCATGACCCCTAGATCAATCAAGTGCAATCGATCTCCTACGATAATGTCTTCAATCAGATTTAAACTAGGTACTTTTATCAAAGGTGTAGTAGCCTTTTGATGATGATTGTATGCATTTTGCCTAAACTTTTCATCTGTTCGTTTTGCACTATTGATCGACGTGAAGACAACCGTTCGAGATTCATGTGAGTACTCGCCTTCACCCACGCATTTCAGACAACCATTCTTCGAGTTAAAACTAGCAACACCTAAAAAAAAAGTTTGATCATTAATTTTAATAAATCAACACCAAACTAAACTAACCTTTTAGAAACGCACGTGCGGGTGAGTCACAAATAAAACATCTTAATTTAACATTAATTTTGTAGTTGTTGATTAATATTCCACGATTAAGCACATCGATCAACTCATCGACCAATTGCTTCAAGAAACCATCAAGACTAGTCGGCTTGGTTTTTCCATAAAATATAGCAATCGTCATCGGTGCAATTTCAGGCATTTCCGAAATATTGAACAATATAGGCCAAAATTGTATCTTGCTGCTTTTGAAGAGTGGAATTCCATCAATGTTTATGTTTATCGAGATGTTCAGTGACTGTTCTGTAAACCTGTAGATGAAGAATAAAACAGGTGTATAAAGTACTTCTTCTTTTGCTTTAATTAGGAGAATATTAAGAAGAGAGTGCAGAGATCAAAAATTATATGCCTTTTCTTTGTGTTAAACAAGAAAAGCGCACAATTTTATCTTACCGGAAAAAATCACTCAGGCATTGCTTGATACCTTGGTACCAATATTGTCCACCAGCAATTTCAACAATTTCGGAAGTTGCTTGCCGGGATGTTTTCAATGTGGTTCTTGCGGAGCGGGGTAACCTTTTCCCGTTAGTTTTCCTTCTGATTATTTCCATAATCAGATTTATGGATTCATGTGACTGATTAGTTTTGAGAGCCCAATATCTAATGCATTCACTTAAATCCATTTGATCCAATGCATCACTATATTGCTCTTTTTCGAATGATGGACCTGAATCATCGAATGAGTCGTCGTCAATCTCAAAAAAATCCTCAATTTCACTGTCGTCGTCTTCAGGTTTAACTTCTTCGGATGTTACAGTATTTCTTTGAAAATCTGTTTCAATTTCTTTTTGTATCGAAGCATGCTTAGATGTGGTAGGCTGTTGTTTTCCTGTAAAATAAATAAGAGTATTTGCCTAGGTATTTGCTATTAACAAAAACTTACAAGATAATATATTACCTGGTTGATCGGCAGTTTTGTTTTCCGCTTCCCATTTCGCCAACAGTTTATTGCGATGATAATAAAATAAGCCATTCTTTTTTATCGTTTTCGAAAAATCCATTTTACGCTTTTGTACCTATATTCAAGATTGGAGCAGAACACCGTTTTACTCTTCAAACGTAAACAACATTTCTTAAATTGACATTTCTAAAGTTGCTTACTAGTTCAAGTCAAGGTTCAAGTCGAACTTCCTTCGAACTTTGTTTACATTTTTCTTAAGTTGTTGCAAAGTCTTATCTAGAACTTTACGTGTACTTTAAAGTCTGAAAGAAGTTCAACATAGCTTAATTGTGAACTATCGCGCTGCTTTAAAGTACGGTTAGTACTAAGATTGGACTTTGTGTTAGAGGTTCGAAACAAGTTCTTTATTAACTTTTTGTGAACTTCACAGTTCAACTGAACGAGAACAAGAAACTTCTGTTGAACTTTCAAGATTCCAATAAATATTGGCGGTACTTTAAAGAGCATTAAGTTCTGTTTGTACGTGTAGTGCCTTGTTAATAAGCAAGAAAGTTCCACGGAACTAAATTTGAACCAGATGTGAACTTTTAGGTTCGTTCCTCAAGTAAAATCCGAACTTTAGGTTACTTGGGTAGCGACGTAGAAGGGCCGATGATTGAAAAATTTCAAATCAAAGCTAGGCCCTACTGCTTGAGGCAGGGCCGATGATTTATTTGACGTTAAGAAAAGGCTTAGCAAAGGGCCTACAATTTATGATGACAAGCACAACGGCTTAACAAAAAGGGCCTAACCATTTAAAGATTCACAAAAAGGCTTATTACTGTGATATTAAATTTTTATCGATTTTCATGTATTTTTGAAAACGTTTCGCATGTTTTGGATGTTGTGTACTGAGATATAGTTACTATTGTTATTGTGAACAATATAAATGCCTAAAATACTTCAATTTATTTATATAGGAATTAAATACTGGCGGAAAAATTTACAATTCATTTTCTGGATTGTTTACATTTTGGACATAGGCCCTTTTCAAATGTTACGCGAGAATTGTCTTTGATACTCAGAGGTATTATTTGATTTTGTTCATTCGTGGCTGGATAGTCAATATCGCCTGTGTTATTTTCAATATTAATATTCGTTTTCATCTTGGTGGGAATGATTTTGAGGATCAAATGCAAAATGATTATTTTCATTTTACACAAATATAGCGCCGAAGAACGTATCGTGTTCATTTTTACACACAGATCGATGCGAAATTATTAACTCATGCTGAATGGATGATAATATCGAGGTGTTCTCTGGGGTCGACAATATTCATAACAATCAATTTGCCGAACATGATAATTTGATTATTTTTCTTTTGAGGATCGTTACTAATTTTGACAATTGTGGGATGGATAATCAAGCACTGGTGAATATCAACAAACGCGTATAGACCAAGGTGACTACATATAGGTGTTCTAATGTGTCAAATTCATGATTCAGGCATGTTGGATTTTTGTATGGGACAGCGACCGAGTTTGTTTACAATTTGCTCTAAAACCGCACTCCGCGACCTCCTCGCCTATATAGTGACAAAGCTGTATCACCATTTGTATACCCACCATGGTATAGACGAGTGCACGGATGGATTTGAGTTCACTCTCTCTAGAAAAAGTGACACAACAGCGGGGCCCTGTTTACTAAAAATGAACACATGAATAATACTCACGTTACATTTGAAACGGGCCTATCAACTTTAGTTCACAAAACTTGTTGAGCCTTTTTCGCGCGAACCGAATACGCCCACGCAAATCAACAACACCATCGGGTAGGGAAAATTCTCCCCTTCCCGATAGTGCTCTTGGTTTGCGTGCGCGTCCTTCGGTTATGATGGAAAAGACCTAGCAAGTTTTTTTTACAAAAGTTGATAGGCCCTTTTCAAATGTTACGCGAGCATTATTCATGTGCAGGCATGGAAAATCATTTGCATTCATTTCGTGCATTCATTTACATTCATTTGCCCCTTACTTTTTTCATCAATAGAATTCCGCAAAATGATGTATGGAGCTTTTGTAGGTTTTGTTATTAGCTACAAGTTTTGTTAACATTTCAAATATCTCTTATGCAAGACGAACCAGAGCAAACAGAAGCCACTACTGTTTTTCAGTGAATGTATTTTACATTCACTGAAAAACAGTAACTAGTTCTGCCCGCTCTAATTGGTGATGCATAAGAGATACAGATTTGAAATATGAACAAAAGTTGTAGCTAATAACAAAACCTACTAAAGCTCCATACATTATTTTGCGGAAGGCTGTTGATGAAAAAAGTTAGAGGCAAATGAATGTAAATGAATGCATGAAATGAATGTAAATGATTTTCCATGCCTGTTCATGTGTTCATTTTTAGTAAACAGGGCCCCGCTGTTGTGTCAATTTTGTTTCAGTAGATGAACAAAAGTTCACCCGTGCACTCGTCTATTCGATTATGTATAATGAACTCATTTGTTCGTTTCTCTCGTACGTCACAGCGAAGATATTCAAAATGAACGTAATTGATCTACACTGGGTTGAAATGATAAAAACAGACACTGGTCGCTACTGAGGTCTTGTTTTATGAGGTACTATGCACAGTGGTTCCCCTTAGAACAGAAGTTGGCCAAAACCTTAAAATTGTTGCAAATAGGCAAAAAACAGTTGAAATAGATGTTTTTTAGCTGTACGAAGAAAACTTGACAATCAAGACGTCACAAAAAAGAGTATAGTAGAACCAAAACCATTGCACAAGTAAGATATAAAATCAACCTTAAAATCCCAAATTTACTTTAATTCTAATCGAAAGGAATGAGCTGCAAACTTGTATTATTGTGCCTCTGTTTGAAACTAGATACGATTAGAATTTCTTCCTACAAGAGCTTATTGAAGTGGTGCCGGTGGTGTAGTGGTAAGCGTGATTACCTATCACCCCAGCAGGCCTGGGTTCAATCCCAGTCGGCGCCGCCGGGATGTTCTGAGGCATAACATCTCTGATCACGCCTTCCTTCGGAAGGGAAGTAAAGCCGTTGGTCCCCGGTTCATGAGTTGATGGGTCGAAAGGTAGGGTCCAGGTGTGGGAGCTGCCTCCCTGGCGTCGGTAGCATTGGTGCTCAGCACGGAAAACAAGATCGACGAAAAACAAATCAAAGAAAAAAAAAAAAAAAAAAGAGCTTATTGGGTTATTTTATTTATTTTTACTTGAAATGGTATTGTTTTTGGTTAAACGGTGCCAATTTGATATTTACTCGTACTTTATACGGATAAGAGCTTTTTCGGTGTCTTGCTTTTTGATCAAAAAGCAACGGTATTTTTAATTATCTTTTATTTGGTATTTTGATCTTTAAAATTGGCCAATTGATCGATGCGAATGTTACTTTCGACATAATGAAAATTTGCTCTTGATGTACGGAACATTTAATTTGAATTTTCAGCAAACACGTGATCGTTGTTGCGAGTAACTCGTTGAGACGAAAGCCGCGGTAATGTTTTATTCCGCAATGATTCTACGCCTACCGTTATGCATCGCATTCACATTTCAAAACGGTTTCTACATTGTCTCAAGTGCGAAGAACCTACTCCCCACACGATATGCAACATGCTGTACGAATTTTCATTTACAGCGGTACCTATACACATTAGGGTGCCCCTAAACAAACTTTGTTTTCGAAAAATTTACTTGATCTCTACTAGAATCAAACACATTGCCGAGATGGGTACCGCCAACTGCTCGGCATCCATCTCGGCAAAAAAGATCCTGGGGATCCAGACAATCTTTAAATTGATTGTTGTCATTATTGAGGAGAGTCTCAGCCAAAATAAAAACTGATTGCTCGGCAACAGTACCTCAGGAACAAACAATAATTAATTAATTTTGGCATTATTTTTTTATTTTTTTTTTAGCTTGGGTTGATAAAGAATAAAATCCGTACTGATTTGAGATTTAGTTTTAGTAACTGTTCTCGCGAATAAAAGCTCAATTTTGCAAAATAACAACACAATCCGGTAGGGGAGTGATTTCTCTAGCAGTAGGTATAGTTTGCGAAATAGAGCTTTTATTCGCGAGAAATTGAAGAAATTGATGTAATGTCAGCCTAAATGCCCTTAATTTGGGCCCATACATAAATTCAGCAATCGACTAAGAAAAATGACGGTTCATATACATTCAATGGATAAATAGCAGATTTATAGCGATGGGCCCAATCTTAGATCCATAGGCCAACATTAGAGCCATTTTCCCTAGGTGATTGAAGCCATTGTTTACAAAAACAGTTACACTCAAATCAGTCCGGAAATGTGAAATATTGATCCAAATAAAAACATCCAATGCCACATTGCTTTATCGTATATATTTTTGAAATTTCATATTGTAAAGGTGTTACATAAATGAAAAAGGATTAAAAATATTGTTGCAGGTAGCGTATCAAAAGAAAAAATCTAAAAACAGCCTGTCAGGTGCGAGTTCATCTTTCGGTGGCTATTATCCTATCCCTTGTACGTGTTTACTCTCGAGTTTTCTGCCATACAATGCCTTCATAATACCGATCCAAAATGGTAGATCGATTTCGTTCCCGGATTCATGTTTTTCTGACAGCTTGGGTTTCAACAGAACTCTTAGGCTCTGAACCATTTGGCGGTTTTTTTAACTTTTGGTTAAAATTTGACAGATGGAAAGTTATCGATTAACCCTGCTATCTGAGTGTGGGTATTTCTGACAGACAAGAACTTAAATGTTGACAACGGTGGCTGAGTTCTGCTTGAAAACCGATCGATCGGTAACACAGGGAATTGAAACACTTACTTTACTTACCCTTTGGTAAGTAACCTTTCAGTCATATTTTTCAAGTACCGTAGAACCATAGAGGTAACTCTAAGACCACTGGGTCCCGAAGAAAATCATTATTATTTTTGGCTCACTCAGTACCAGAACAACGGTCCCAAGCAGTCCCAAGCTATTTCACTCACCCCTGCATGTTCTGCATGAATCCACACACCCCTGATGTTATCTGTCAAACTTTCATAGCGAATCAAAACAAACATAGTATAGTAATAGAATTTCAACTAGAATAGGGTACGTTAATCGTTT